GAAGGGAAGCACAGCCCTCTACAGGTGACAATGAAGAGAGCGCTCTAGATGCTTCCCTGCCAAATGCTGAACCATCCCCAACCGGCTCCTCCCGGCCTCCTCCAGCTTCCACACCTTCTCCAGCATCGTCTGTCGCTGCTAAACCTGCCGATGGCACCACTGCTGCTTCAACCACCTCAGCCTCTTCAACCCAGGGGGCTACCACCCTCACCGCATCCTCATCATCGTCCTCTTCCTCCCCTGCGCCAGGAGAAGCGAGTGCCTCAGGAGCTGGAGGCAGTAGCAGCAGCTCAACAACAACTGATGGGGTGAAGCCCAGGCAACAGGCCCCTAATGCTCCAGCATCAGATCCTCTTCCACCAGGGTAAAAATCCCATCTGGATGCTAAGATCGTATTCAGATCCGTGTGACATCACTGCTGCCAAGCAAACATGAATGACGCGTGTTCCATAACTAGATATAGTGAATTTTTTATTTTATTTTAAAGATAAGATATTCTATCACTTGCATTGAAAGCATTTTAAAGTCAACGCTTTGGTTTTATTGAAGCATTTTTGATCAAAATTTGGTATCTAAAGTTGGTCCAAAATAATCCAAAAAACAATCATTGGATTATATGGAAAATTATCTAAAATCTCAGAAGCACAGATTATTTCTGCTCCAGCTTTTCTGTCCTGCAGCGCTTGTATCCTGCACATGGTCACAACAGTAGCTAATAGCAAAGCATAACTTGGACACATTTCTACCGTTTTATTTGGTACAATCGTAGAATATTTTTATGTTGAAGCTCATAGTGGAAATGAAACGGTGAACCAAACTAACTGAATTCACTAACTTTTTCCAATAATTATATTACAAACGTGAAAATATGAATTTAAAGGGATAGTTCGGGATTTTTGACATGAATCTGTATGGCATCAGTGCGCGCCGTCCAGCTAGGAGCTAGGCGGAGCGAGACATGCATCTGGCTGTTGTTGAGCTCGCTGTCAGAATGACGGCGCGCACTGATACGAACAGAGAGAAAATAGGACCAAGTGATAACGACGTGTGACTTTTTCCACTACAATGTTTTTGGGATGCAAAAATATCGCTCTTTTGAACACATAATGTTTTGGGAAGAGAAACGTTTTATTTCGCTGGGTCTAGCAAACCTGTCGGACTACTTTCGGCTTGACCAAAGCTGGACGAGAACTCTGCTCACAGGATGCTGCCAGGGGTAAGTAAGTGTGATTGCATGACACTGGTGATGGGGATGCCATACAGATTCATGTCAAAAATCCCGAACTATCCCTTTAAGAGAAAAAAAAACATAGCATTGTTTTGTTATCTTTTGGCAAGGGTGCCGGATTGTTGCAGTATTCCAAGCAGTTACTCTATGATGCATAAAGCCAGAGAAAACTCAGGAACCTTTTTCAGTTTCTCTTTATACCAACAAAATTCTGTAAAATTTCTGAGGTTTAACCCATTAGCACCTCATTCATGATTTCCTGTTGATTGTAGAGCCGTTAGTTCGGAAAGGCTCGATGTGGAGAAAAGGCTAGCGATTTCAACAAGTCGCTTGGAAATGAGAAATTCGGGACATGGCTGCAGCCTGTGGACAGTAAAGATAAAATATTTTGTTGTGTTTTTATGTATATATATATATATATATATATATATATATATATATATATATATATATATATATATATATATATATATATATACATATGACAGTCATGGGAACTTGTTTATGGCATTAAAATTACTTCTAATAGCATTGAAAGAGCATTAAAAAGTATTAAATTAGAGTTAATCTATGGTGCATAAAGCCAGAGGAAACTCGCACCTTTTTCAGCATCTCTTTAATACCACTAAAAAAATTCTGGGAAATTTCTGAGGTTTAACCCATTAGCACCTCATTCATGATTTCCTGTTTATCACAGAAAAAAAGGTTAGATTTTTCCCTTTAAATCAGTCGTGTCCAGACTAGGGATGCAAGTTATCGATTAACTAATTATTCTGAAGTTGATTGACCTTATATATCGACTAATGATTAATCCACAAGCAGACATTTTCGTAAAAAACAGAGTTTTCTTTTTTATTAAGAGACTCTTTCCATAATATGAAGCAATAAATATTTATCTTTTTACTGTGTTGTGAATTTTAGAAAAAAGGATATAATTATATTTATTCACTGCTGCCTTCCTCTGGCTTAGTGGGGGAACTGCTGGTTCCACCAAATATGTTGAAGAATCCTAAAAAAAAAAAAAATGCATCCAGACTATGATGTGGATTATGACCAAAATTTATTGGATTGTTCCTTGGACTGAGGTTCAGCTTTAATACAATTTAATAAAATGTTCACCTCTTTTCAAATTACCCTGTACACAGACAGATAAAGACAAACGAAAGTTACGTATGTAACTACGGTTCTATGAATCCCGGATGACCGCCAGAGGGCGGTGCTGAAAGCACTGAATGTTCCCTTCGGGCATGCGCAGTTCGAGTAATTATACCAACAGAGTCACACCTGTGACACCGGATGACCACTCAGAAGCTATATAGCCTGGTGTCATTCTTTGCTCTGCTCCTACAGAATCTTCTCGCAAAAACAAGGATTCTGAGTGACAGAGAAGCTCTGGCGGTCATCCGGGATTCATAGAACCGTAGTTACATACGTAACTTTCGTTCTATTTCATCCCTACTGACCGCCAGAGGGCGGTGCTGAAAGCACTGAATGACTAATGCCAATGATGTCACAAGGAATCCTGAGCACATACCTCACAGAGGAGGCCCAGCAGAACCTTGTAAAAGGACCTGACCCAGGGGATGATGGGCAGCCACATTGACACTGTAGAACCTGGTGAAGGTGGTTGGGGAAGCCCATGAAGCAGCAGCACATATAGCTTCCAGCGGAACCCCTCTCAAAGCAGCCCAGGAAGCGGTGACACTCCTGGTGGAATGTGCTCTCACACCAACTGGCAGGGAGCAGTGACCTGCAGCGTAGGCGTGGCAGATGACGCTCACAATCCAATGGGACAGACGCTGTTTAGAAAGAGGACAGCCTAACCTTGGACCCCCATAGCATAGGAAAAGCTGGTCCGAGCGTCTCAGATTGGCGGTGGCTGCAATGTATGCCTCCAACGCTCTTACTGGGCACAACAACTCAGACTCATTCTCAGTTGTACCAGATTGAGGCTGAAACCGAGCCAGCCGCAATGGCTGGTTACGGTGAAAAGGAGACAACACCTTAGGCACAAACGCAGTATTAGGCCACAGGGTAACACCAGAGCCATCTGGATTCCACCTGATACACCTAGGGCTGACAGAAAGAGCATGTAGCTCGCTGACCCTCTTAGCTGAGACGATAGCCATCAGGAAAGCAGTCTTGCAGGAAAGCCACTTGAGTTCTGCTTGTGCCAAAGGCTCGAATGGAGGGTGGCACAGAGCTGTGAGAACCAACGGCAGATCCCAATCTGGGGCTCGTGGGGCTGGCTGCTGGCACAACCTACGAGCACCACGCAGAAAAAGTGAAACTAGTTCATGGCGCCCCACTGTACGGTTGTCAACAGTTCGGTGAAGACATGAAATTGCTGCAACATACACTTTAAGGGTCGAAGGAGAGCGGCCCTTATCAAGGAGAGACTGGAGGAACTCCAAAATAGTGGGCACCGAGCAGGAAACTGGGTTCTCATTGTGGGCAGAGTACCACTGAGAAAAGAGGCGCCATCTGTTAGCATACTGCAGCCGAGTGGAGGAAGCCCTAGCACTCAATACGGTGTGTCTCACGGTGTCTGAACACCCAGTCAGCCTCCCAGGGGCCATGCCCACAGCTGGAGACGTTGAGGGTTGGGGTGCCATATCTGTCCCCCCAACTGAGACAGCAGATCCCTCCTTGCTGGAAGACGCCATGGAGTACCGTGACACAGACTCCAAAGCAGCGGGAACCACGGCCGCGCTGGCCAGAACGGAGCTACCAGCAACACTCTGTGGCCCTGCTCGAGAACCCTCCGTAGAGTCGGCCAAATCAGTGAGAGGGGTGGAAAGGCATACAGGAGAACCTGCGGCCATGGATGAGCCAGTGCATCCTGGCCCAGTGCGCCCGCCATCCCGGTTAGGGAATACCATAGGGGGCAATGGGTCGACTCCTCTGTGGCAAACAGATCTACCTCTGCCTGCCCAAAGAGGTTCCAGATTATGCGCACTATGTCGCGGTGAAGAGACCACTCTCCCGGAGCAGGTGCCTGGCAGGATAGAGAGTCCAAAACCTGGTTCTGCCGTCCTGGCAGATACGCTGCGCGCAGGGTACACAGACGGGGAAACGCCCATTCCAGGAGATCCCTCGACACCTTCAAGAGACGTGCTGACCTGGTGCCACCTTGGTGGTTTATATGATAAACAACAGAGGTGTTGTCTGTCCGAATCAGCACGTGCCTTCCCTCTAGGTGGGGTGAAGGCACCTGAGGGCCATGTGCACAGCCCGCAGCTCCAGCACATTTATGTGTTTGGTGCGCTCCCTTGGGTCCCAGAGACCCCGAACAGCTCTGTGTTGCCACACGGCACCCCAGCCCATGAGGCTGGCATCCGTGGTGACCACCTCCCTTCGACACACTACTAGCCCCATTGGAACACCACTGGACAAAAGGGTCCCGTCTCGCCAAGGAGCTAGGGCATGGAGGCAGCTCCTGGTCACCATTAGCCTGCGATGCCTGTGCAGCCTGGCGTCTAGGCGAAAGCTGTTGAGCCATCGCTGCAAAGGACGCAGAAGGAGCAGCCCTAAGGGCACGACACGAGTGACTGATGTCAGTTTGCCCAGCATTCGCAGGAAGATGATGTAGGGAAACTCCCTGCCCAGTCTGAATCGACGGACAAGCTGGAGTATGTCGTCCACCCTGTGAACAGATGGACGGGCCATCATGGTAGCAGAGTCCAGATGCATCCCAAGAAAGGTGGTTGTCTGAGATGGAACAAGACAACTCTTTGCCAAGTTGACTTTGAGGCCTAACAGTGACACATGAAGTAGAAGCTGGGACGTATCCCGAGAGGCAGCTACCTGAGAGGGAGCACAAAGAAGCCAATCGTCCAGGTATGGCAGAATCCTGACTCCGGAGGCCTGTAGAGGAGAGAGGGCTGCTTTCACGCATCGAGTAAACACCCTCGGGGAAAGGGAGAGCCCGAATGGGAGCACCCGGAATTGCCAATGGCGCCCCCGATAGGCAAACCTGAGAAAACTGCGATGTTCTGCCGCAATAGGCACGTGAAAGTAGGCGTCTGTCAGATCTACTGATGTAAACCAATCTCCCACCACAATGGTCTGAAGGACCTCTGTTATGGTGAGCATGTGGAAGGGAAGGACCTTCAGGTACCGATTCAGTCCCCTTAGATCTAAAATGGGGCGAAAACCGCCGGTCTTCTTGGCCACAAGGAAGTATGTGGAGTAGTAGCCTCTGGGTTGCCGCAGAGGATCTACAGACTCGATTGCCCCCTTGCCCAGGAGGGCGGAAAGCTCCTGGTCTAGTGCCTGAGATTTCACCGGGTCTGTGATGACAGTCATCTTGACCCGGTGTGAGAGGGGGGGCCGCCGTCGGAACTGGAGCCTGTAGCCATTGGTTAAGGTGGCAACCACCCATGGATCTACGGCATGAACAGCCCAGAAATTCAGCTGCTGATGGGAAAAATGTCCGACGGCTGGCCCGGTGGCATCATCTTCTATCCCCACGGCCCCTGGGGGCTCTGGGGGGAGGGCGTCCAGGATTTGAGGCCCGGGTCTGTCTAACAGGGCGGCAGACTGGCTCACGAAAGTCCCTCCTCGGTCTCTGCCGCACATCATGGGGATAGGAACCAACAGGTCTGCCACCAGTCTGAGGTCGTGGCTGAACGCTGGGGGTAGTGGCAGGGCGGCCCGAACGCTGGGGAAAGGCAGGTATGCTCCTGCGAAGGCCGGAAAGCTGCTGGCTAGTCTGACGTGCCTGAGCAGTCCGTTCCAGCGCCTCCAAGGCAGCTGATCCAAACAGCTCCCCTGGTACAACCGGGACACCCCTGAGGGTCCTACGGCATGCTTCAGTCAGAGGAGATTGTGCCAACCAGACCTGTCTACGAGCTTGGGCAAGGAAAGACATGACCCGTCCAAGCTCTCTGGTCATCAGCGCGAAGGCCTGCAGCGCTGCGTCACTATAACCAACCGCCGCACTTGCACCACCAGTGTCCTGAACAGATGCAGACAGGGCAAACATGAGGTGCGCCAGAGAATTGCCAAGGCGGCCAGCACGCGCTCCTGCATTGTACGCCTTACAGAGGAGGTCATCTGTAACCCGACATTGAGTCCGCGGGCACCGGACATCAGGACGCAGGGCTTCATCTGGTGACACAATCAGTGAAGCAACAGCTGGTTCAATTGCTGGCATACGGTCCAGGCCGGCCTTCACCGACTCATGCATGGCAGCTAATACACGACCATCCGATGAGAGACGCGACACCGCTCTCGGTTCCCGCCAACAGGCGTGTAACTCCTTCAAGTACTCCTCTGATGGAGGTACAGAAAAAGGAGTAGGAGCCCTCCCACGTCTGAAAAAGGCACTGCCGGAGCTGGATGCCTCTCCTTGTGGGAGTTTCAGCTGCAGCTGCTTCAGGGCCATAGACATGACCTCCCGCATGGAACCGTCACCGGCCTCTCCAACCGCACTCTGAGATGAAAATGAACCAGCCTCAGAGGCTTGAGAGGACCCTGCCTCCTCCTCATCTCTAAAATGAGAAGCGGAAGCAGCCAGAGAGATAACGTCATCCTCTACAACCAGCTCGGGCATTGGTGGGGAAGAGAGCCCAACCACTGGGAGCGAGGGATCAGATTGCCGTGTCTGCAACAAGGACTTCATCTCTGCCAGCTCAGCTGACAACTGCTCCACCCTTGTGGACAGGCCCTGGTCAGGTTTGGCACGCTTCCTCCGGGGGAGGGGCACAGATGCTGTGGTCCCACCACGGCGCTTAGAACGCTTGGGGGGAACCACCTGCCCAGAGGGCGGAAGGTCCGAGCCCTCCTGGGGGCACAACTGGGCCAACCGGGCCACCCTCACTGCATGGGGCATAAAGCTGCAGTTCATACAGGGGTTCTCAGACAGCGCCTCCAAAAGGTGCTCATGTCCAAGGCAGGTAGGGCACAGGTCGTGGCCATCCTCTGCCTGCAGGGCAGCCCCACAATCCATGCAGCTGTGAGAGCCATCCATGTCGAAGGCCGACAAGGCTTAAAGAACAGAAAGTTATCGAAAATTGGGAGAGGGGGCGCAAACGCAGCCGTCACCAATTACAGCAGAGAAACGAAAGAGGCTGCGAGCACAAGGCAGCCGATACTGGGAGAGGGGGCGAGAACCGCTACCGTCACCAGGTATAAAACCAATAAACCAAAAAAGCTAACAACGTTAGCTGTATGGAAACTTAAGTTGGGAGTAGGAGCGAACAACGCTGCCGTCACCAATTAAGAGAGCAGACCAACGAAAAGGCTGCAAAAAAGGTTGATTTTGGGAGAGGGGGCGAAAACGCTGCCATCACCATTCATAACTAAGCAGACCGATGAAGAAGGCTGCAAACAAACAAAAAAAGGCTAACAACGTTAGCCGTCTCCAACTTCGGCAAACGAAGTAGACCACACTTGGTTGGGAGAGGGGGCGAAAACCGCGGCCGTCAGTAATTATAGCAGCGCAGACCGGTGAAAAAAAGGATGCAAAAGTAGGGAATATACTGGGAGAGGGGGCGAAAACCGCTGCCGTCACCAGGTATAACACCAACAAACTAAAGAAGCTAACTACGTTAGCCGTATATAACTTCGGCAGTGAAGTTATTCACACTGGGAGTAGGGGCGAAAACGCTGCCGTCACCAGTTCGAAACAAAACAGCACGAAGCTGTAGGTAAAAAGCTAAAGTCGTGAGCCGGGAGAGGGGGCGCGGACGCTACCATCACCAGCAAACAACTCACTTACCTTCCGTAATCCTCAGAATCGACCCGTTGCAGCCCTGGGAGGGCGGAGAATAACCGCAACTCCGGTCAAGATACAGGGGCTTCAGACAACGGGGAAGTTAGCGAACCGCTTGCGAGAAGAAAAAAGGAGCAGAGCAAAGGATGACACCAGGCTATATAGCTTCTGAGTGGTCATCCGGTGTCACAGGTGTGACTCTGTTGGTATAATTACTCGAACTGCGCATGCCCGAAGGGAACATTCAGTGCTTTCAGCACCGCCCTCTGGCGGTCAGTAGGGATGAAATAGAACTCAACTAATAAAAACAACCTCCTTTGGCAGAGGTACATATGTGAAGCAGTTATGATTTCCAATTTACAGAGATGTAAAACTATCATAAAAAGACGGGATACATGCTGTCAGAATATAGGGACGGCAACAATTAGATCTGTTTTTAGTGTTATTAAGCATCAAGTTCTGGGAGAGACTTTGTGACCAGGAAGTTGTGGTTGCTCTTAGAGGAATGTTAAAACTTGGCTCCATTTAGTGCTTTAACTCACAAAAGCCTATTCTTGTTACCAGTGGGTCCTCCATCACGTTTCAAATGTTTTGGCTAGTATCCTGCACTTTTCTGTCCTCACATCCTCACCTATCGAATACAGCAGGAAAGGCAGCGCTGCTCTGCTATATACCACAGCTAAATAGGTGCTATTGAGGTGATAACTTAAGGAGTTTATCCAGTGTTTATATTTACAAATAGAACCGCATAAAGTTAATTAAGCATCCTTTTGCCATTAGCAGCATAAATAATCCTGGACCGGGCTCTGCAAATACCAGTGAGGTTCTGCTTAATAATAAACACTGCATCCCTGAAATGTGCTGGTGAAGATTCTTAGTCATCCAGGTCATAGTCATTCCCCAAAAAAAATAAACCACTGGACTTTATTTCCAAGTTTGAAGACATTTCGCTTCCCATTCAGAAGTGGTGTTGAGTTGCTTTATACAGATTTGCATGTTATCTAAGCAAAAACAAGGTTTTATTGGGCTAGTGTATAAAGCAAGTCAACTCTATTTTTGAGATTTGAATTGAAAAAGCTTCCTGGATGGGAACCAAAACATCTTCCAACAAAGTCCAAAGGTTTATTTTTTTAACTTTTTTGGAACGCATCCCTGAAAGAAATTCCTTTTAAGGAGACCTTATTTATTGATTGGTTGGAGAAAATTTTTATCTAACAAACCATTAGTCGACGATCAAGTCCATTATTTGCTTACATTCTTAGTCCTGACAAATGTTTGAGTTATTGGGAAACCTAAAAGCCTTAATATGCTTTAATGTTCATGATAATCCCTGTGTTTCAGGTGGGAGCAGAGAAAAGATCCTCATGGGAGAACCTACTATGTAGACCACAACACCAGAACTACTACCTGGGAGAGGCCACAGCCATTACCTACAGGGTGAGTGTCGACATCATCTGTTTTATCACAGTATTTTTCAGCTTGATAATTTCAACACTGCTGTGATTAAATAAAGATGAACCAGTTTCAGTTAGATATCAAGATCCACCAATTAGCCCCCCTACAACCTGAAAGGATTTATAGACCTTGTGCAGTCAATTATCCACTGCCTGTATTCAAATTTTCTTCATGTTTCCAGATGGGAACGTCGAGTGGACGATCGGGGTCGGATCTATTATGTTGACCACAACACCCGCACCACCACGTGGCAGCGCCCTACGATGGAATCTGTGCGCAACTTTGAGCAGTGGCAGAGCCAGCGCAGCCAGCTGCAGGGAGCTATGCATCAGTTCAACCAGAGATACCTCTACTCTGTAAGTAGTTCTTTGGCTTGCTTGGTACTGTCATGTGTTTATGATTGAGAGGCACTATGGCTGTCCTAACCGCTGGGAGGGGGGGAGGTACTAGTGAACACAAAGTCAGGTCACTAATATGGACCTGTTTTCATGTATCTGAACCATGATGGATCATTTTCTTGTAAGTAAAATAAGTAGCCATCTTTTTGTTTGTTTTTTAGGCATTGGCCCTTTAAATTAATCTAAAATCTAATTAGTTGAAATCAAATGGTTTTGATTAAAAGGATGAAGTTAATTTTTGCTGTTTTTTAGGATTTCTGCCCTTAGATGAGAACAACTGGCACCCTGTCCATTTAAAACAAGCTAATAGGTTAACAACAAATAACTGGAGGCAGCAGATAGTCTTCCTTTTCGCCAGAATTTAGTGTTTAATGTCCCTCTACCTTCATCCTTAAAGGTGTTATGGAGGATTTTTTAAAAGATCTGCCTTCTCCAATTTAAAAAACAAAATGCGCGTGCGAGAGCACGCACAAGCTAATTTCTCCTTGTGCACACCCTGCTTAAAATGTGCAGCTCTCATAGCTCATACAAGCTTACTGTGTCCACATACAGCGGGGAATATATGGTGGACTTTATAGCAAACTCAGTTTACGGACCGTTCAGACAGATGATCACTGCTTTTTGCTCTGTTGGTCACGTAAATCCTCCTCCACTGCACAGTGCCTGCGCCATCTTTGTTAGTCGACGCTGTTTGATAGTGACAGCAGGCCGCTGTGCCCGCAAATCCCATAATGCTTTGCGAGGAGAGCTCTCCATGCAAAGCATTCTGAGATATATCTGCCTCTTCTGAGGCCTTTCTTTTCTTCTCAAACACTTCTTAGACACTTTTTCTCAGCTATTTTCAATGAACTGCCGTGAGAAAGGTGAGCTTAGACTTTCTGAAACCGAAGCTCACCACAGATATACGCCTGAAAGTTCACATGGGCAGAAAAATATAGCTAACGGGACAAACGCGTAGGAGGACCCCTTTTTTAGATGATCAGGGTTTCTGCAGGTCATTAAAAATCATTAAAAGTCATACAAATATTATTTTTTTAATTAAGGCCTTATTTGGCATTAAAATTCATTAAATGTGTTTATTGTGGCATTTAAAATGCTTTATTAAAAAAAATTTTTTATAAAAACAATTTCGTCAGACATATTTCGATATATTTGCGTGGAACTGAGCCGGAGAAAAAGCTAGAGAATGGAGGGGGAAAAAAAGCAAATTTCAACAAAAGTGGCTGGAAAACGAGGAATTCGGGACATGGCCGCAGCCCGTCGACAGGTACCTGTTTGTGGGATTAAAATGATTTCTAAGAGCATTAAAAGACCTTTAAATAGCATTAAATTTGAGTTATTAATTCCTGTATAAACCCTGATGATCCACGATAAAAGATTGTCCTCTATACCTTTAACAGACACTTTAGTTTCTGCTACTCACCATTAAGCAATCACTTTCTGTACGAATCCAGAGTACAGATGAGGCTCTGTAGCATTTACTCAGAGCAGGTACTTTAAACTCAATCAGCTGCATTCAGAGTTCAGATACGCTTCATTAAACGGTTTAAACGTTTTTTGTTTTTTTTGGTCTGACCAATAATATCCTGATGGTGTTGATCATAAAATGATGAGCTTAGATCCCCGCTGTATGCATTTATAATTTAATCAGTCTACTCCCATCTTTTTATTCCAAGGTTTTTGTTTTTACTTCCCCCTTTCAGCACATTTTCTGAAATCGAGCTCCATTCTCCAGCCTGAACTAAAACCTCAGGTTGAAAACTGTTTACTGCCATAGAATCTAGGATTTCTGCAGTTTTCATGTGTCGTGCTGAGCTAATTCTAATAAGAAGTAGTAAAATCACCAACTTTAACCACCTTTTCACTTGGAAGACATGTTTTTTTTATTTCTAGAAGGATTTGTATCTTCTGTCCTTTTAAGATTTTCATGTAAACTGTTGATTTCTAGGCATCTATGATGTCTGCTGAGAACGATCCTCTTGGCCCTCTTCCTCCTGGTTGGGGTAAGTTCATCATCTATCTGCTTTATGTTCTGGTTTTTAAAAAAGTTCACTCAAATGAACAAGCAAATAATTGCTCAACTGCTTTTTCTTCTTGTATTATTTTGAAGAGGAATCTGTAATCTAACCGCCATGTGTTTGATATATACCTGTAGAGAGGCGTGTGGACTCTAATGACAGAGTTTACTTTGTGAACCACAACACCAAGACGACACAGTGGGAAGACCCAAGAACCCAAGGGTGAGTACTCTAATACCCCATTTACACTACCCTTGAAAAAACGATCCATGCCGAGACCGGTCCGAGCTCGGTTCTGACGACCGTTTACACGTCACGCTCTCTCGGTTCCTCGACTCCTCGCCTCCTAGTGACGATCTGCGGTGTTACTGCCAGTATTAAACGAGGAAATCAAGCAGTTGGTGGCGGTAATGCACCAAAAGTTGTTCACCAACCGCCATAAAACACAAGAAGAAGAAGACGAAGAAGGAGGGAATCAAGCAAATCAAAATGGCGGCGCCCGTCACATTCAGAAAGTTATGCTTGATTATTATTACTGTACTTCGGTTTTATTGTTTAAAATGCCATTATTTAAAATGTTGCGTGGAGAAGATTTCGATTGTTGTTTATAGTTGAAGAAGAAGTTGTTCTTCTTCTTCTGTTTGGCATTACCGCCAACTACTGGAATGGAGTGTGAATCGCGATGTGCAGCCAGACGGAGATGGCGCGTTCTGCTCATGCGCTCTTATTATCAGAGAACTGAGCCAGGGAAAACCGAGCCGAGCCCACCTCTGGAACTGGTCTGCAGTTAGCTCGGTTCGGTTGTGTCTAGCTCGGTTCAGTTCAGTTTGCTTTCCATTTACACACGATTAGTTATCTCAGTTACTGAGCTCGGACCGGTCTCGGCACGGTTGTTCAAGGGTAGTGTAAATGGGGCATAAACGTGGTCCGGAAGGGAATTGGATGCAGATACAAGCAGAAAACTGTAAAGACTTTTACTATACCTCCTGATAGGATCTGTAATGCTCTGGTTCGGCTCGTCTGATATGAACCCAAAATTTTGATCTTGAATATTTACAGATAACAACAGATAAATCTAAATTTTCACACCTTGCTATTTTTTTTTTTTTTTTAGGTTTGTTTTTTTTTTTTTTCTCTTTAAATCACATTGTATTTTAAAGGAATAAAGTCAGACTATTTTATCAGATCTCATTTTGGGGTCTAAGTTTTACAAATTAATCTTCTTTCATCTCTTTTTGCCGTTGTTTGAACAGTAATGAGAAAAGTCTCTCTTGTATTGTTTATTGGGCATTTGCACTAGAATAGAAGCTCCAAACTGAAATGTTTTTCTTTTCTTCTCCCTAAACAAGAATACATTTTTCTGCATTAATTTTTCATTTGTTTTGGATAATATCTGATTTCCTCAAAGTCACATAAAGTGTGTTTGTTTAGGCTACAGAATGAGGATCCTCTGCCTGAAGGTTGGGAAACCCGGTACACAAGAGAAGGAGTTCGCTACTTTGTGGATCATAACACCCGGACCACCACTTTCAGTGACCCGCGTACCGGAAAGTCTTCTGTGTAAGAGACGCTTGTTCTTGCTCTGCTGACCTAAAATGTATCATCTGGCCTGAACTGTTTCAGTGTGTTTTTCAAAGACGAACTAAAGTTAATTTTCAGCATGTCTTGTATAAAAAAAAACCTAAAAAAATTATTTTCTTTCTAAAGTGAAGCAAACATTTATCTTTTAAAATGTGTTTTTCTGGTCAGCACCAAAGGTCCACAGATCGCATACGAACGCAGCTTTAGGTGGAAGCTCGCTCACTTCCGCTACCTTTGCCAGGTTAGTGGTTACTTTGTTTGATCTCCCTTTCAGAGCTACGTTCCCTCTGCTTCTCCCCTGATGCTCATTTCTTGTCTTTCAGTCTAATGCCCTCCCGAGTCACGTAAAGATCAACGTCTCCAGACAGGCACTGTTTGAGGACTCTTTCCAGCAGGTAGAAGCTTTAATCTGTTGCTCATCATTTGGTTTATTTTATATCTGTGCTTAAGTTAGTGAATATTTTCCTTAGTTATGTATTTTCATTATTTATTCATTGTGTGTGTCTGTTTCACACCTTGTCAGATTATGGCGCTGAAACCATACGACTTGAGGAGGAGGCTGTATGTGATCTTCAGAGGCGAGGAGGGTCTGGACTATGGTGGCTTAGCCCGGTAATAAAAACTAAATCCTTGATGGAATCAGAAATGGTCCCAAGTGGTAATTTATTTTGTTCTTCCCAAAACACCAACATTGTTTTCTCTCTCCTCTGTTCTCCCTCTAAACTCAACAGGGAGTGGTTTTTTCTCTTGTCCCATGAAGTGCTGAACCCCATGTACTGTCTGTTTGAGTACGCCGGCAAGAGCAACTACTGTCTGCAGATCAACCCGGCATCGACCATCAACCCAGATCACCTCTCCTACTTCTGCTTCATAGGCCGCTTCATTGCAATGGTACATCCAGAAGTTGATTCCGGAACTGCTCAGGCTCGTTATTATTTGTTTGTTCTGCTCAGCTCAGAAAAACTGGTGATGTTAATCTTTTTTGTTATTTCGGCAGGCCCTTTTCCATGGGAAGTTCATTGACACTGGTTTCTCTTTGCCTTTCTACAAACGAATGTTGAACAAGAAGCTCATCCTTAAAGACCTGGAGTCTATTGACCCTGAGTTTTACAACTCACTCATATGGATTAGGTAAGCTTAATGTGTCCTCTAGCTTTGGTCAGTATCAACAGGACTAATGTTGTTAGACTAAATAATTAAAAAGCCAAAACTGATGTCAGACATCTTCAGGTGGGCGTCTTCGTCTTTCTGCTGATGTTGGTCCCTTATACAGGCGACATTTTGTACGTGGTCTGAAGAACCGCTGGTCTTGATGGTTAAACATAAATACTGTTCTCCGCATCATCGTCTGCCATGGTTGTGGGGGGTTTTGCAGCTTCTTCATAGCAAGACCCAGAATAGTGACCTTTATCGGGTATTAATGGCGTTCAGGTCGGATGAATGCGACCTGGCCGTTCAGACACAGGTCGCATTTGAAAAGATCAGATTCATATCGGATTCAGGACCACATAGCCAAGTGGCCTGGGTCGCATTTTAATAAATCAGATCTGTGTCGTTCAGAGGGCCATGAAAAGATCAGATCCAGGTCGCATATGGGCAAAAAAATAGGATTTGGGTCACTTCAGGCTGCAGTGTGAACGTAGCCTTAGTCTTTTGTCAGCCAGATCAGAAAATGCGGCTGCTTGCTCCACTTTTCACCTGCCAACAGTCCTGAGTGGCTATAGACCTGTTTCCCTGACATCCCTCATCATGAAGGTCCTAGAGAGACTTCTGTCAGTTAACCTCAGCAAACAAGCAAGCCGCTATCAGGACCCCTGCAGTTTGCTTATCGTCTTGGAGTTGATGATGTCATCATACACCTGCTTCAACAAACCAACTGCCATTTAGACAAGGCAGACATTACTGTGAGGATCATGTTCTCTGTTTTTTACCACTGCTTTTAACACAATTCAGCCTGACTTAACTTTGAGAGAAACTCCTAGAAGACTCAGGTGGAAGCATCAACAACCCAAATCAAAGACTACCTGACAAACAGACCAAAGTTTGTTAGACTGAAGGGTCGTCTGTCTAAGGAGCGCAACAGGGGACGCTGCTCTTTCCATTCCTTTTCATTCTGTTCACATCTGACTTCCAGTACAAGACAGGGTCCTGTCATCTGCAAAAATACTTAGATGACTCTGCTGTCATTGGGTTCATCAAAGAAGCCCAGTACAGAGAGCTGGTGTACCGCTTTGTGGCATGGTGTGGAAACAGTCATCTGGTCCTGAATGTCATCAAAACAAGGGAGATGATTGGAGATCTCAGAAGAAACGGGAACAAGTTGAATCCTGTTAACATCATGGGAGAAAAAGTGGAGGTGGTTGAGGAGTAAAAATACCTTGATGTTCATCTGGACAAAAAAACTAGACTGGAGATGCAACTGTGAAGCAGTTTAGAGCTTAGGTCCTTAAGTGTTTGCAACAAGATGCTACATATCTTCTATAAATCTGTTGTGGAGAGTCTGACCTCTTCCTCCATCATCTGCTGGGGTAATCAGAGAATCATCATCAGAGAAAATCTGACGCTTCAGAAGCTTCCATTTCTGGTCATCGGACTGGCCTTCGACACAAGGAATGGAAATAACAAAGTTTAAAGATTGCAGGAGAATTTAAAGGATAGACCTGGTTCTGATGGATCTTTGGCTAACACTAGCTGGCTAGCCCGATTGCGGCACGTTCATTAAAACCTCACTCTGTTACTGAGCTGATAACTGATCCTTAAATGGTCCTTTAATTTTGATGTTTATCAAGGTGTTGGTGCCCTGTGTGATTTATTTTTAATTTCTTAGAGCATAACTGAGTAGAAAAGAATAGAACTCATAAATGAGTATTGAATACTTTAGTGCATAACCGGTAATTTTAGGCACCACCACTTCATGCAGCCTATAGAGGGGATTCCCAGCACTAAGACTGATCAGAGCTTCTATCTATCAGAGCTACATTTAGATGCGTCTGCAGAGCTGAATGAAAGAATGAATGCTTATGCTCAGGGTGTCATGGATCAGGAATGTTTCTAAACGTTGCAGGATAGTAGCTCTCAAGCTTATATTGGACCGAGAAGGAACCAAGGAATAACGTCTGTTCCTACTCTGTTAACCTGCAGCAGCGACTCTGCCTCTTGTCTCCTCAGGGACAACAACATAGAGGAATGTGGGCTGGAGATGTACTTCTCTGTGGACATGGAGATCTTGGGGAAGATCTCTTCACACGACCTGAAACCTGACGGCTCTGAAGTTCTGGTCACTGAAGAAAACAAGGAGGAGTACATCAGGTGATCTTCTCATACCAGCAGAACTGTAGACGCTGTTAGTTCTGTGAGGAGCCTAACATGTTCTGGGTGGTTTGCAGTCTGATGGCAGAGTGGAGGTTTTCCCGTGGGGTCGAAGGTCAAACCAAAGCTTTCCTGGACGGCTTCAATGAGGTGGTTCCACTTCAGTGGTTGCAGTACTTTGATGAAAAGGAGCTGGAGGTGAGCAGAACCACCTCGTTCAGAACCAGCTTAGACTTAAGTGCATCTTTACTGGATTAGTTTTCTGAGGCTGTTTGTTTTGTATGTGTGATGCAGGTGATGCTGTGCGGCATGCAGGAGGTTGACCTTCAGGACTGGCAGAGGAACACGGTGTATCGTCACTACACCAGGAACAGCAAACAGATCATGTGGTTCTGGCAGGTACTGTTGCTTTGGGTCAGATTCCGCCGCAGCATCGTCCACTAGCGTCAGTCACTGATGGTCGTTTGCTGCCACTTTGCTCCCTGACAGCTGGTGAAAGAAGTGGACAATGAGGTGCGGCTGCGGCTCATGCAGTTTGTGACGGGGACCTGTCGGCTCCCTTTGGGCGGCTTTGCTGAACTTATGGGTCAGTGACAGAATCGGATCCACCAGGAGGAGCTGGCTAACAGAAAGCTTACAGTTAATGATTTCATCTTGCATTGCAGGAAGTAACGGACCTCAGAAGTTCTGCATCGAGAAAGTGGGAAAGGACACATGGCTTCCCCGTAGCCACACATGGTCTGTGTTTAAAACCCCTTTAAAAAAAACTTTCTGTTTACGCAATACTACATATGAAGGAAGAAAACTATTTAACCAGCAAAGATCAGAGGGGGACTTTGGGCCATTATTTGAATTATTCCAATTATTTAAGTTAGCCTTTAAATGTTTAGTTCTCCTTTTAAAATCTATTTACAGGGTTTGAAGTAAATGACCAACATAAAGTATATAATTGTTAGTTGGAAGGAATTTGTTTATAATGAATCCCTGAAGTTGTACAATATGGTGGCGGCAGCATTATGCTGTGGGATCTAACTGGTCTGATGATACGTAGTTAGACGGAGCCAGAGCTGGAGCAGAATTTGATTTGGAGTCCATTCTTCCTGTCAGAAGCAGTTTTTCAGTACAGATTTAGTGGCATATAGAAACGGGGGACCAGATTAACCAAATGAGCTTAAAGCAGTCCAAGCTAGTTTTATTTATTTATTTATTTAGTGGGATGTTTTTTTTTAATCAAAAATCTGAGCTTAAAAGATTCAACTTGCAGCATCAGGTAATAACTATGTTTACTCAACCATTAAACAACAGGGATTATAAACTTTCCCTCTCCTTAAGCAAACATTTTAATAATGTAAAACTATTTATCATATTTAAACTATTGATTTACATGTGTCTGCATTATGATTATACAAATAAAAAAATATATATTTTATGTGTCAATTCCAGCAGTTATGTTTGGGCTCATGGTGTTTTTTGGGGCTTAGTTTGATTATGCCTTGGGCTGGCTGTGGAGGGAGCTGAGTGCAGAGTGATCCTGGTTAAAAACTGTGACCACGACGAGACGACCATAGCGGTTCTAAAATGGAAACATTTTGATCAGAGGATTTAGTCCTGTTGGGAATCTGTAGGACAGGAGAATTTAAGAATGACAAATATTTTTCTTTACATGTGAAAAGTTGGTGAAGACAAACTACAGCCACTGTATTTTCTGGACTATAGAGTCCACCTCACTATAAGCCGTGCCCACAATTTTTTTTCAAAAACTGGAAACGTACATATATAAGCCGCACCGGGCTCTAATGCTACGTTCACACCGGACGCAGCAGGAGCAGCAAAATCGTGTCTGCTGCTTCCTTTTTGCTGCCTGTACCAGTTTAGTTCTGACTCGCGGCTGAAGCAGCTTTGCTGCTCTGGCTGCACGGTGCAAAAGTGTGTCTGACACGCGTTGGGCGGAGCTACTCTACCCTTTCTTTGCCTGGCAGCTATATTTGCTATAATCAGTGGGAATAAAGTAGTTTTAAGTGAGAAAATCCACCTGAAAACTTAATCAGTGCAGTCAGTTTATTCAGATTTCCATCCTGCCTTCCAATATTATTTCTGTCGGAGCCGCTCAGACCCCCACATACCAGCGGTGCGCTGTCAGTAGGAATCCAGTTTAACAGCAGCCTCTGGCCCGGTCGCCTCCTCGCGGTTCACCGCGGCGGCTGGAAGGTTCTTTTATGTACATAATCCAAACTGCAGGCACCGGGATAATAAAAGCGAACAAGCTTTGTCGGCAGGTTTTAGCATTTTACGTTAATTTAGGCGTTAATTAACTGTATCAGAGGAGTGATCACAGCGATCTGTGTCATCAGCGATCTGTCTGTCTCCCTGCCAGCTCCCAAATCAGTTTCTCTGATTGGTTGATGTGGCGCGACCAGCAGCAAAAGTTCAATTTTGCTTCTACTGCGCCTGCTGCGTCTGGTGTGAACGCAGCGTAAGCAGCTGATATTTACTGAACTATCTCCCACCAACCCTGTAGGGGGAGCTCTACATATAACCCTTGGAGTAGGGACGAAGAAGAATGCTAGCTCCCATTAGCTTGTTAGCTTGCAGCAGTAGGAGCTTATAATAAAAGATGGAGCTTCATCAGCTCTTTATCTCCGTTGTAGGAGTTGAACCCAGTCTCTTGATTCGTCCGGCAGCTTTTATGCGGCAAATAAAAGGAAAAATTTGCTGCTAGCATGTACTTATGCTAAATGAAAATTAGCCCTTATTCTTTTCTTTCTATCTTTGACTTCCCCCTCTCGCGGATAGGGAAAATACACAGAAAAACCGCACCTACTTATAAGCCACATGGTTCAGAGCGTGGGAAAAAAAGGTAGCGCCTTATAGTCCGGAATATATGGTACTGCAAAGAATTGACTTCAGTGCTGTGAAAGAGATTTTTACTTGTTAAAAACTGAGACACCTGTCGACAGTGTTGTGCCTGAACGCGTTCATTGAACGAAAGTTCATGAACTCGTTCATATTTTGGGCGAACGTGAACTGAATGTACTGCATTATTGCCTGATGAACGTTATTGTGAACTCGTTCATTCTGGCGTCTGTGAACGGCACGCTCTCTCAGTTCAACTCCGTTCAATAGGTTGCCAGATTTCTATAAAGCCCTCCAGGTAAAACCCCGGCTAAATCACACCGTAAACAGGCCTTAATATGTAGCGGGAAAAACACCCAATCTGGCAACAGCAGCTACCAGCGTCGTAGCCTACAGCCGCGTGCGTCATCAAAACAAAATGCAGCGTGGAAGCCACAGCAGCGTGGAGGCGACTTAAAACAGGTTTATGACCAGGTGGTCGGTGAGGATGATGGCAACAAGTTTGCCCGCCGGCTTTCAGTAAAAAAATCCGCACTTCAGTAACCTTAATTCCTACCTCAGCCTGGTCCCTCAGTTTGTGTTAGTAAAATCTTCTTGAGCGGAGGTCTTCAACAGGGGATCCGCAACCCCTAGGGGGTCTACGGAGGTACTGCATGAGGGTCTGCATGGTTAGTTGATATTTTTATATTCCCCCCCTGCATTTCTTTCCCCCACTAATTGAAATGTCTTTAAATACTCATTAACATGAAATCAACGCACTGTAGTAAACAGATAAATGGAGGCAGAAGATGTCTTTCAGTCATCAATGCTCACATTCAGCGACACACAGGAGCTCTTTCAAGCTGGGCACCGTTTCCTTCACAACACCTGTCCCATCAACCAGGAATCAGAATCAGAAAAACTTTAATAATCCCAGGGAGAAATTAATTTCTTTACATTACTCCATCTGTAATAGAGTGACTATAGGACACAATTTCATACAATATATATAGTTAGGGGGTCCCCGCTCCATCTCGCCATCAGTTTGGGGGTCCTTGGTCTGGAAAACATAGAAGACCCCTGTTCTTGAGGGTTTTACTATCCATGTAACTTGTTTGTTAAACCTGCCTGGTATAATTTTCCAGGATTCCTTTTTATTATGTATTGAAATGGAATTTCAAATGGAAAAAATTATTAAAATAAAAAAAAAAACATTTGCACCTTAAAGACTACTTTCCTATTTTTCTTTTAATAATTACTCATAAAAAAGACCATTCAAGCAGCACATTTTTCCTGATGTTTTTGAGAATATACTGTAGGGGTGAAAGCTGCAGCTGCTACTAGTGTGAAGTGAATGGACAGCAACAAAGCATTAAAACAATGGGGAAAAGCTGTCCCCTCAATGCTAATGTAAACCCTGGTTGGATAAGGATTCAAAACTGGATATGAAGATGAAATCTGACGCACAGTTTCAGAGTTACAACTGATAAAATAATTGCTGTCTGTGGTTCTACAGTAGGCTATGGTGTAATTGAGCAATATATGAAAAAAAAAAAAAAAAAGAACTATGAACTAGTTCGTGTTTTGGAATTGTGAACTATGAACTGAACTAGTTCATTTTAAAATGTGTGAACTGAACTTTGAACTAGTTCACGTAGAAAGAGAACTTTCCCAACACTGCCTGTCGATTCCACCCAACTGTTTTTTTTTTTTTTATATTTGCACTTTTTATTGAAAATATTTTTTCCCATAAAGGTATACATACCGATTTTACAGTTTGTTTGTTTTTTCTTTCCAAACACAACATCCAACAGAATCTTTGCATATATTCGATACATGTATTGAACTGTAAGCAAACTATTTACAGTCTTTACAGTCTGTAACTCTATAAGGGTACCCAAACCCACACTATTAACAAAGTGTGATCTCCAGGGTGAAATAAAACCTCGCCAATTTTCCCAATAATTTTTAAATTTTCCAGATTCAAATCTAATGGAAAAAGTCATCCTTTCCATAATATCAGTATTATGTATCCGCCCAACTGTTTTTAACTCCTCTGTCACAATAGAACAAAAGGCAGAAATCCAGGAATTATAAGCTGTTAAAGCTACAGTGTGTAATAATTACAGGGATATACAGTCAGAAATGTAATATATTATACATAACTATGTTATTTATCATCATCTACGAGCTCAGCCTCTTAACCTTAATATTTGCGGTGCCTTAGAATTCATTATTTATAATTACATAGGAGCGGGTCTCGCAGCCATGGAGGCAGACATCTTTGCGCTACGGCAGCGCAGAGCCAACAAACTAGCGATTGCGAGATCGCCAAAATGTCACAACGATGTAGAAAAAATAACGGGTATATTTATTATCTTAAGTCTACATGAAATCTATACCCTACACAGACTAATGAAATACTATCTGTAAAATTATCTATGTAAACAAACCTCATCACTTGAGAAGGTAGGTGATGCGGCCGTCGTGGAAGACATTTTGTCCCGTAACGCTCGCCGTACTGTTGGGGGGGATAAGCGGTGGGGGGGAGATGTTCATGTTGCTGCGGTCTGCAGTCTGACCGCTAGATGTCGCTAAAAGTTACACACTGTAGCTTTAAAGATATTATTGCCTTTATTTATGTTAGAAGGTTGTAAAAAGCAGCAGCCTCCACTGACTTCCCTCTCTCTAATCTCTTCCAGTTTCAACCGTCTGGATTTGCCTCCATATAAAAGTTACGAGCAGCTGAAGGAGAAGCTGCTCTTTGCCATTGAGGAAACGGAAGGATTTGGCCAAGAATAGAGGGTCAACGTTTCCCTCTGCTACACCCCACCCCCCCAGCTGTTCGTTCAGCCAAGAAAAGCAAACAAAAGAATTGCACAATATAACCACCAATGTATATAAGCTATTTTGTCATTTTTAAACCAAATCCTGATTTGCAGCATACTTCTGTTGCCGCATTCCCCAATCCTTATATAATATCTATCTACCCTCCATGGAAATATGCAAACATTTCATCTGTCTGCTGTTTAAAAACAGAAATCCTCTTCTCCCACAGCTAAATGGCTTTTGAAAATTGACTTTTTTTTTTTTTTTTTTCTAGAGGATTTTATAGTTTAGGCTCCAACCTTCTTTTAAAGCTCTAGTTCTATAGAGCTGTTAAAAGGCGATTCAGTGCCTGAAATTGTCTTTTCCTGTCGGACGGATAGTGGTTTTAGAAATCCTGCATTCTTGCATGCTGCCTGTGAAGATTAGACGGCTGCCTCGTCCGGCGCCGCGGGCGCGCACGCAGGATCCCGGCATCATTGAATGAGCTTCAGGTGCCACGGATCTAAGGCACAGAACGTGGCTACCCAGTCGTTTAGAATCGGGATCGGATTCCTTCTCTTCTCTTAGAGGGTAGGAAATCTGACTCATCTTTAAATATTTGTGGACTCATAGGAGATCTTAGATATTTTAAAAATTTCATTGAAAAACAAGCCATTTGTGTGTGTGAGTGAATAGTGCTGTTTTATGCCAGAGATGATCCAGGCTAAGTTAGACTGTAGCCTGTTTGCACACTGTGACGCGACGAGAGAGGGGCTTTAGGATGCCGAGCCACATGGACGACTTTGATAATCTGCCGCTTTAATTTGCAAATTCAGAAAATATTCTGGCTCCGTTTGCAGATATTAGAGTCAGACTCTCGGCTGCATCCGACTGTCCTTTTGAAGCCACTGTGTTTGATGCAGCACTGCGTGACATTTTCAACCCTTTAGCACGCGGTGCTAGCACACAAATACAATCCCAACCATGACTACCAGAATATATTTAGCCATGAATGTCATGTAGTAAAGTGCAACTGATAGTGTTGGGGGAAAAAGTACAACTTAAACAAGTGGGCAAAATGGGGGAGGGGCTTAAGTTCATCCATGATGCTCACATTTGAGTTGAGAAAGCCTTATTTCTATCATGCCTCAGCCCATGTTTCTTTGTTTCCTTCCGTTCTTAAAGAGACAGTCCCTGTTTATTTTCACATCAGACTCTGCTTGTTTCAGCTGGAAGAGAGAAATTATACATGCAGGCAGCGGGTAGCAGGTCTGGACTTGGATCACTGCAAACTGCCTGAAGCTGCTCTCCTGGGGGGTAGCTTGTTATCAGTGATGTAAATAACATGTATCCAGCTGATGGGGAAGAGAGGAAGGATGGCATCGGTAGCAAATGATGGAGGCTTTTTTTTGTTTTTTTTCTTCAGAGATCCATCAAAACTGTGCTTCCTTTTCAGCAGAAACCTGTAATCCAAATCGGTTGTGTATCTGAGTTTCGATTGCATAAAGTCGACAGTAAATGAAGTACTTAAAATATTCAAATCCAGCACACGCTGATGGAAATCTGTGATGCCTTTGTCCTTTATCAGAACAGCTGGGGGCGTTTCAGGTCGCATGCAGCCGGCGAGTTGGTCCAGATCGTGCTGCTCTAAAAAAAAAAAAAGCACATTTTGACTCGCATGGGGCTCTAGGCCTCCTGAAACGCCCCCACTCTAACATATCACGTGTAGATACACACTGTAAAACACACACCACACTGTACAGAATGCCCCTTTACTGGAGACCATGTGTATAGAAGATTCATTTTTAATCTGCTTTCACCCATTTTGAATGGAGAGAGATGGATTTATGAGATACAAATAAATGACTAAACCCTGATCATTGATTTGGTTTTTACTAGTGATATTATGAGATGAGCCGAGGCATGTGTCGAGTTATGGAGGGGGCGTTTCCCTGACCCGCGTGTCGAGGCGTGATTCATTTAGAGGAGGGGCCAAAATTGATGACGTCCGAGGCCTCGCTACCGTGAAACCACGTGACCGCTTCAGGAAATTCAAGAATCTTGACAGGAATCTAAACAGACTCAGTGTTCAGTCAAGATGTGGGAGTTTGGAGGAGAGTTGCTGTCAGCTGGATAAAGTTTGGATGGATTCTAAAAATAGATTGGTTGGAAAAACAACAAACTAGTTGCTTAAAGCTAATTTGGTTAGAATAAACAATGTAATGATTAAAATTTGAGTAAACCACCGGACAAAGCCAGTGTTAACATGTCACTATTAATGACTATTTTCTCCCAACTATGGTTGCCTACATAGGTGGTGTCATCTGTAGGAGACACACTGGAAAAAATCGAAATCTAGATAAGTAATTTCTTCTTAAAATAAGTGCATTTATTCTTGGATTGAGGAGGTAAAAGAGACATTTTGCCAATGGAACAACACAATTTAAACTTAAAATAAGAAAACACAGTTGTGTTGTCTTATTCCAAGTGCATATTATCTAATTATCTTATTTTAAGAGTAAAAATACTAATTCCATTTACCAGCTCAAATTAAGGGTAAAAACACTTAATTTAAGATTTTTTTTTACTTGTATCTAGATATTTTTTCCAGTGCATGCTCTCACTCTAGAGGTTGATGGTTCAAGACCTGTCTTTGGCTTTTGAAAGTTGCAGTTAAACTTAATTATTTTGGCTGATGAGACTAATTTGCATTGTTTTGCTCGAGTAAAAATATAGATTGGGTAAATTTGGTCGGTTTAGCTAAAAGATTGCTTGAACACTACTTCCGACCTGATTAAAACCAAAAAACGGGGGGAAAGTATCATGTTTGAATAAAAACGACTAACACCTTTCATTTTGCTCATCATTGCCCAATCTGCACAAACACTTTCACTGTCTGCTTGAGTTTATTTCACTAAAATGGCAGAAAAACTGTGCACCTTAAATGATCTAAGAAATTTTACACTTAAAACTTACAAAAGATTTTACTATACCAACCATTAATAATTTCAAGGGGACTTAAAAGGGGGAAAAAAACAGTTGCAAAAAAATCAGATATTTTATTACAAACTGTAGTTCTGCTCTCTACCAGTAGGTGGTGACATGTTCACATGAAGCCTCATGAACTGTGGGGATCGTTGAAGCCACAGGCCTGTAGCCTCGTGAGACCATCCTGATCTCGCAAGCTTTCAAGATTTCACTCGAACGTCCAATCAGCGTTGGCTTTGAGGCGGGTTGAGGTGTGACGCAACGAGAAGCGCGACAGTTCTGTCTAAAGAACATGGCTGCTTCAGCCGATGAAACTAGCGTTAGCGTGGCTATCGAGCAAGTTTTATCGGGATTACAGAGTATTTCTTCACTGAAAAAAGAGCAAAACACTGCTCTGGAGGCTTTTCTCAGAGGAAAAGATGTTTTTGCTCTTCTCCCGACTGGTTTCGGCAAGAGTTTGATCTATCAATTGGCTCCTCTTCGTCGTCGCTCTGTTAGTACGTCATATGCTTCGTTGATCTGATTGGTTTATTTGGCCCGTCTATCACCAACATAGGCCAATCAGCTAACCAGTATTTTTGCCCCTTTCCAAAATCACTTAAATGGAAGGTTTCCAGATGGAAATGCGGAGCAAATCCATCTGGCGGAGTCAGGTTAGGAGGCCTGCAGGTCGGGGATCAAACTCAATCTTTCAAGAAATTCTAACAGATGACACAAAATGTTAGAGGAGCAGATTTTATTCCTTTATGTTTGAGATAAACAATGCTGGTGAGACAAGGGCTCCTTAAAGGCACACTATGCAACATTTTTCAGTTAATGTGTTCCATAACGTTTTGGATGATTAAATGAGTCATTTCAGGTTGAACAAAGGTATTCTCGGCCGCCCTGGTGGTCTGTGGGGGAAATACTGCACTTGCAATTGCAGGAGCACCGACCCGCACCCACAGGCTCAGAAGTCTCGTGAGAGTCAGTCTTGCTTTACGGCCGAGAACTGCTACACCCCCCAGTTAAAAGCATTCTCGTTGCTAGCACAGTGGCGATCCTTGTGCAGTTATGCTACGTTCACGCAGCAAAAGCAGCAAAATCGTGTCTGCTGCTTCATTTTTGCAGCTTGAACCAGTTAGTTCTGACGCTCTGGCTGTGCGGTGCAAAAGTGTGTCTGACGCGCGTTGGGCGGAGCTTCACTATCCTTTCTCTGCCTTGCAGCTATATTTGCTGCGATCATTTGGAATAAAGTAGTTTTAATATGTGTTTAAATGAGAAAATACACCTGAAAACGTAATCAGTGCCGTCAGTTTATTCAGATTATTATCCTGCCTTCAATATTTTTTCTGTCGGAGCCGCTCAGACCCCCACATACCAGCGGTGCGCCAACAGAAGGAATCCCTTCATCAGCAGCCTCTGGCCAGGTCACGTCCTCGCGGTTCACCGCGGCAGCTGGTAGGTGTTTTTCATCTAAATAATCCAAACTGCATATTCTGCCGGCAGATTTCTGCATTTTAAGTTAATTTAGGCGTCAATAAACTGTTTAAGAGGAGAGATCATAGCCTCTGATCATCAGCGCTGTGTCTCTCTCCCTGCTTCAGCTGCTCAGACGCGCTGGGCCTGCTGCTCCTTTGCTGCGCCTTGACGCGCGTCAACTATTGACTTTGCATGTAAACTCGCTGCTTCTGTCGCGCCAGCTGCGGTGTGAACGCAGCATTAGTCATTCGTTGCGTTCGCCTGTCTGCTAAGCTCAAAACAACCGCGCCTGACTTGACGGAGAAACCAGGAGAACAGCTGTGCATATTTACGACAGTGCACTTTTACTTTCGCCCTCTGGGGGGAGCCTCGCTGGAAAATCAACACCGGTTGCATAGTGTACCTTTAAATATTCACGCAAAGCTTTGTAGTAGGATAAAATTTATATTATTTCTAATCAGTTATTTTACTCCAGGTAATATTAGCTGATTAGTCCCGCCTGCAGTTAACTGCTTTACACACATTCTTGGTGAAGTTTCCAATGCTTCAAAGGAACGATGGTGATGCTTTCCTTTCAGCCAGCTGACCAGCAGTGTGCAGCGACAGGTGCAGGACTCCAGTCACCTGTCTTCATCACCGTAAGAAAAGCAAGATTGAAATTCCAATGTCACCAGTTCAAGGTTTTTCACTTGCTCCTGCAAAATGCAGCGACTCCGTCCATCAGTGAGGTTCTCTAGCTGATTTAAGGAATCGTTTCAGACACGTGTAGAGACTAAACAAGCTGACAAAGAAAAAATTTTTAATAACGTAAACAATGAATTTCCAAAGCAAGTATTAAATGTTATCTGGTTGCATAGAAGTGATTGCGTTGTAATGCCTTATTGAACACAGTGGACGTTAACACGTTTCATTCCCTTCACTCCTTCATATGGGAACTTACAACTAGATACAGCCTTGATGCCTTTTAAGTCATGTGGAATTATAAACCCCAATATTTCCTGATGCTTCATTTCATAGTAATGGATTTGGTTCAGCAGTTGTGTGAAAAGGCCTCCGGTGGCACGCAGAGGTAGTGCGATATTTCTCAAAGCTGATTCAGGAGTTCCACTGCTTCTTTATGGACCTGCAGGGGTTAAAAATAATAATACATTAATCAACAGGAATCAAATGTCTTACAAAACCCCTCCAACTTCAAAGTAACTTAGAGGGATTTCATATGAAAGCCCAACCTAGCAGTGGAGTCAAAAGTAAACATTTGTTAAGTAAAAGTTTAGATACTGCAGTTTAAAAACACTCTGGTAAACGTTGAAGTATCAACTTGACCACTTTACTCAAGTAAAAGTGAAAAAGTATGTGCTCCAAAAACTACTTAAAGTATAAAGTAACCTTAAAAACAAAACAGCCAGATGCTTCTATATGAATTGAAAGCTCAATTTCTCGGCTATTTTGAAAAATTCTTAAAGATAGGGCCAAGTTGGTCTCTTGTTGGTCTCCGTCTCCCGATACGCTCTCGCCTGTGTCCGGCCTTTCAGACATTTCAACATGAATCCAACATTGTAGCATGGCATAGACAATTCACGTTTGCAGTTTGAAGAACACCTGCTTGCTTCTGATGATTTCCTTTAGCTAACCAATGAGTGTTTGTGTTATATAACTCATCAAATTACACTAGTTTTCACTAGATGTGGATGGCGCCAATGATCTGCATTGGATGGAGCACATGACGTGAAATAAATATAAACATTAAACCGAAGCCAAGAGTAACGAGTAACGTTTGTTTTAAAAATGTAAGGAATAGAAAGTACAGATTCTTGTGTGAAAATGTAAAAAGTAGAAGAAAATAAGTAATGGAGTAAAGTGTAGATACTTAAAAGAGTACTTAAGTACAGTAAGGAAGTATTTTTACTTCGATACTCTACACCTCTGCAACCTAGTGATGCAGTGTACCGCAGTGTCCATGGCGGAGGCTGAGGATCCACCTTCAACATTTAGTTTTAATCTATACTTTTTGTGTTCCTGTATAAGCACCTTGGAAGAAAAAAAAAAACAGAACAGGATGGAGAGCATCAGAGAAGAACACCTTTCATTCATTTAAATTCTCACACTACTGAAAAGAGTATCGTCTCCATATTATAATGCTGCCACCACCATGCCTAACCATGGGGATTAAGAGCTGTATGACTACAGCCCAATCCCAAACCAGCACCTCAGCACTAACCCTGAGCACTACCCCTCCCTTTGATGGGGATGAAGTCTTGAGGAGAGCGGACTGTTTCCTCCTTTGAACCCCCATTTATAACAAAATGCTTCCAATACGCCAGGGGTAACCAATCAAAAATCAGTGGGGTCTGAATAAAGAATATCAACCAGTAAAAGTCCAGAGACATTTTTTATTATGATCTGTTACTTTAAACAGAATTTAACAGTGAAATATGAGTTGTTTATGCATCAATGTTATATATTGACTTTTTAAATTAAAAAAATATGAAAAATAGAATGTTTTTCTATTTAAAACTTTTTTTCAACAATCTTTAAGTTTGGTATATGGACAATTTCCTGGCTCACTTTTTTTAATAAAACACCTTAACTTACTTTTGTTTTTCTTTCTTTTTTTATGGCTTAATGAGAGAAGTAGTCTTCAGGCTGCCCTGCAAGGCTTTAAACCTGGGTTTGAATGGAGACAAAAGATATTCTCAAGCTCAAAGATAGATTAAACCTCTAATGCATAAAATTCCACCGGTAAAATATTTACCAGCAGGTGGAGCCGTTGCGCGCAGCTCCAAGCTGACACTAAAAGTTCTATACCGCACAGCTCTGGAAATGTTATAGCTAGAGGCATGACATTTTCTGCATATGCGGTTGACATGATGTAGAACAAATATAATACGATAAAACCTGTTTTTTCTCTACAATATATGTATTACTGCTGTTCAAAAAATACCAATCATTTACAAGGATAAAAAAAAACAACTTTGAGTCATGTTTGAACTGATGCAGGTTGCTCTGTGTTCTAGTCACCCATTTTTTCAAATAATGTATTGCAAATGTATTTTAGGCTTATAGTTCCTTATTTGCTTTTCCATTTGGGTATGCAAAATAGGCGAGGATTACCCAAAATGAAGTGGATGTTAAGAGGATAAGGAGTGGATTGCATCTCCAAACTCCACTACTGCTGCTAGTTTTGTTGCAAGAATGGAAAACCATCCACAGATCAAACAGAACTTTCTACCATTTTTTTCCCCAAATCCTAAAAATATAATTCACACCAAGTAGTGCTGGTGACGGAGGATGAGGGATTTTAAGGTTAGAGGACTGCTCTGATGGATGTCGGTTCCTGCTTGTTTCCAATCAACTCCTCCCAACAGTAACACCTCCACCATAGAAAGACTCCTTTATCCTGTTTCTATAATTTCATCCATGCAACAAAACATACATACAAACCGTATGATGGGAGCGTTCACCGCTCCTCCCTCACCTCATGCTACGATGTAACATTTGCTCCAGGATAAACATTTTATCACGAACGTTATTATATATTTAAGCCCACATAGTCCTTTTACGATGGCCGGGAGGTGTAAACCAACATCACAAAATCTAAAAAACTTTTAGTCTTTTAGTGTTTTGAATGTTTATTTGTTTCTTAAAATGCTATTTGTTTTGAAACTTAAAAGTGTTTTATTTTTATTTATTTTTTAATGTAATATAAGTAATATTTGTTTCCTGAAATTACAACTTGTTTTGAATTTTGTAAAAGTTTTTTTTTATGTAAATTTGTTTTCTGAAATGATAATTTGCTTTCGAACTTGTAAAAAATGTTTTAAAATGTAAATTTGTTTTCTGAAATAATTTGCTTTGGAACTTGTAAAAGTTTTTTTTTTTTTTTATGTAAATTTGTTTTCTGAAATGATCATTTGTTTTGGAACTTGTAAAAGTTGTTTAGATTTTGTAATGTTGGTTTAAAGGAATAGTACACCCAAAGCATGATTAGCCTTCATTTTCTACTCACCCCCATGCTGAACAACACTCTGGAGTACTTTTTTGATATCTCAAATGCATCTGGAGATCTGGGAGGCTTCTTGCTGTCTGCTGACATTCAAATAATGGAGGTCTATGGCGCCCGAGGCAGAAAGGTCCATAAAAGTCCACAAAAAACGTGTCAATATTCCTCCATACTGCTCGTCCAATGTATTCCAAGTGTCCTGAGTGGGTAGCATCCAGAATTTACTCGAAACGAAGTCATTTAGAATGTTTTTAGAGCATAAACAGTAGTGTATAGGATTTCCTGAAAGCGCGCACCTGCGCGTTCACGACGCTATGGAAGCCGGCAGACCAAACCAGATGAAAGTGCGCATTCAGCGTCTGCTTTGCCGATAATGCAAGCGTAGAAGAAGAAATGTGCTGTTTATCTGTGCAAAGAAAAAAACAACGAAAGAAAAATGTCTGAGGACTTCAGTGTTGAGGAAGACCATGAGTTCTTTGCCGAGCTGAATGGGCACTTTCATCTGGTTTGGTCTGCCGCGGTTTCCGTAGACTCGTGAACTCGCTTTTAGGAAATCCTATACACTACTGTTTATGCTCTAAAAACATTCTAAATGACTTCGTTTCGAGTAAATTATGGACGCTACCCACTCAGGACACTTGGAATACATTGGACGAGCAGTATGGAGGAATATTGACACGTTTTTTGTGGACTTTTATGGACCTTTCTGCCTCGGGCACCATGGACCTCCATTATTTGAATGTCAGCAGACAGCAAGAAGCCTCCCAGATCTCCAGATGCATTTGAGATATCAAAAAAGTACTCCAGAGTGTTGTTCAGCATGGGGGTGAGTAGAAAATGAAGGCTAATCATTTTTTTCTATAGTGGGATAATACACTTAGAACCTGTGTTTTGAAGACTTTTAGATTTTTCCAGATTTCTTTTTTTTTTTTTAGGTCCAATATGGCTCTGAGCAGTTTTGGTTGCCAACCCCTGATCTAAATCATCAAGGTGTGACAGGGGCTTTAGTCGATAACAGGATCCCTGCTACAGTTCTGGTATGTTTGTACCTCTTTGTCCTCCAGTGTGCGAGCCGGGTACTGCTTAGCTTTAGTCAGCCAGAGCAGCGCCTTCTCCTTGTCCCTCATGGACATGTACGTCTTCCCCAGCATCAGCAGGTTTTTACTGTAGAAGTCTGGGTCAACTGTAGGAACCAGTGATTACAGGAGAAGGTTTTAGCTTAAAGTGCTCCTAAAATGATTAACTATTCATTTAAATATAATATCTTCAACCTTCCTCTGCCTTTAGGAAGAACTCCAACGCCTAAAAGAGAGAGAAACCAGAATTTATAAGCATTCAATGATACTAGACAGCCCAAATAGTGAGGATGAGGACTGCAGAGAAGTTTCCACCTCCTCGAACGTAGATGTAGGCGGTGATGAGAAAATGACAGCTGCCACTTTGCGCTGGTACCATGGCAACTCGGCAAAGGCATAACACCTAAAGTAGAAGAAAATGTCTTTGACTAGAATACTTCAACATTTTGTTTTGCATGTTGACGTGTTAAAACGTAACTTAAGCTCAGCTGTCATATACGGAAGAGGATTAGGGCCACTGGGGAAAAAAACGTTTACTGATTTTAAAAATGTATTTCAATTTAGTATTGGAAAAAAGTCAGAATTCTGACTTTAATCTCAGAAATTCTGACTTTTTTCTCAGAATTCTGACATTTTTCCTCAGACTTCTGACATTTTTCCTCAGAATTCTGAGTTTAATCTCAGAATTCTGACTTTTTGTATTCTGACTTTAATCTCAGAATTCTGAATTTAATCTCAGAATTCTGACTTTTTGTATTCTGACTTTAATCTCAGAATTCTGACTTTAATCTCAGAATTCTGACTTTTTGTATTCTGACTTTAATCTCAGAATTCTGACTTTAATCTCAGAATTCTGACTTTAATCTCAGAATTCTGACATTTTTCCTCAGACTTCTGACTTTAATCTCAGAATTCTGACTTTAATCTCAGAATTCTGACATTTTTCCTCAGAATTCTGACATTTTTCCTCAGACGTCTGACTTTAATCTCAGAATTCTGACTTTAATCTCAGAATTCTGACTTTAATCTCAGAATTCTGACTTTTTATATTCTGACTTTAATCTCAGAATTCTGACTTTTTTCCTTAGAATTCTGACTTTAATCTCAGAATTCTGACTTCAATCTCAGAATTCTGACTTTTTTCCTTAGAATTCTGACTTTAATCTCAGAATTCTGACTTTAATCCTCAGAATTCTGACTTTAATCTCAAAATTCTGACTTTAATCTCAGAATTCTGACTTTAATCTCAGAATTCTGACTTTTTTCCTCAGAATTCTGACTTTTTTCTCAGAATTTTGGATCTTAATGCAGATGGGCACCATGAAGGAAGAGATGGGGGAGCACTCAGCTTCACTGACAAAGATGTTAGTTGTTTGGGAGGGCCAGTGACACACTGGTGGAAAATTACGGAATTAGGCAACTTTTTACGTGCCCGAGGGGTCCCCTCATTAATGGAGGAGCAGAAGGTCATTAAAATAAGAGAGCTAGTCTCTAAAACAGACATGGCCATGGCCTGATGCTAATGTTATCTGTCAGAATTCTGAGAAAAGAAGTCTGAATTCTGAGTTTTTTCTCCATACTAAACTGAAACAAAAATTAAAAATCAGTTAACATTTTTTTTTCAATGGCCCTAATCCTCTTCCATAGTCATAGGTGACAGAAGACATGCAAAAAAAAAAAAAAAGCTGGAACCCAAGCATAGACTGGGGTAAAACAAAAACATCTCAGCATAGCTGAAAGGTCGACAACCTTGGCTTATTTTGCATTCATGATCTAAGCACCTTTTACAAACTTAGACAATCATTATTCTAACATTTTCCAAAATAATGAGCTCAACTGTTGAAGTTTGACTAGAGAAAAAGCTAAAAAGAGAACAAATAAACAAAACAAAGTCCAGAGCTGAGCTAGAGAGGGCTGCCAACATCAAAGACATGTTGTAAAGAACAATGAGGTAAAGGTTCAATGATGCAAGAAAAGAACAGCGCCGCTCACCAGTAACCTAGAATGTGTAAGGATGTGGCGTCTTTGGGGTTGAGCTGAATGGCCCTCTGGGGGGAGGAGAGGGAAATGATTCAATACATCCAGTTTGTTACAAGATCCTGAGTCAGATGTTTCTCTCACCTCCAGATGTTCCCTGATGATGTATGAATTTCCTATTTTAACCTTCACTCCCTCATACTCCCCGATGTCGCTGAGGCAAACAGCATACCACTTGGTTAGAAGAAAGGGAGGAAAAGAATAAGTTCTGTTTAATAACTGACTAAGATGCGCACTTATATCAGGGTTCATTGTGACATCGGTGCCTGTAGGGTGAAAAACCCAGCTTACTTTGTGTGCAGCAAAACATTTTTCATCTCTCTCCAACGCCCGCTTTGCATATTCAAAGGCTTCAAACGTCAGCTGCTTTTTCCTCCCGGCGTCCGTGTCGGGCAGCAGGGAGAGATCCCGAGACGCCCGGGCTAACCTCCACAGGAACTCAGCATCCTCACTGGGTGGAAGCACACAACCTATATTAGCTTACACCGACAAACTGCTTAAAGACACAAAAAACACAACTTTGGTTTCACCCATGAGGCATTCCCATCATGCCCCCTGGTAATGAATAGTTTAATCCAATCTAACTGTATTTGTGGAGAAATTTGTTAAAGGTATAGAGGACAACTTTTATTTCTGGGTGGATCATTTCAATAAGTGGTCCTCCTGATTGTCAATCATCTGGTGATACATTTACGTAAGGCCATTCTACGTACTCAATGAAAACCGTCCGAACCATTCGGTTCGACTGTCTCGGTTCGATTCGCGTGTGTTGCGTTCGGTTCATGCGCTGCTCCTTTTTCTCAAAGGCGAAGCGTTTACACTCCAGAGCAGAAGGTGGCGGTACTGCGACCAAAGCCAACCACCAGTAGTAAACAAGAAGAAGAATCGAAGCAGCGTAGCCGGGTTTAGCAGAAAAAAATCAGTTGTTGTGGAGAATTGTGTGGGTATGGCGAGTGGGAAAGAACAGGAGTTGGAAGACGCGCCAGCAGCACTTTATAGGTCTGCTGTATGGGACCACTTTGCATTTAGAGTGACCTACGATGACGGCGGGAAGAAAGTTGTGGATAAAAGTGCAACAGTGTGCAAGCATTGTGCAACACGTTTTGTTTATGCTAACAGCAACACGACCAACATGTCAGGCTAACAATCAACATATACCGAACCGAAAACCGTGACCACGAAACCGTGAACCGAACCGTGGATTTTGTGAACCATTGCACCCCTCCTAGGTAGCTATGTTTTTCTGTGCATGCACACTTTCAGGCGTATATCTGTGGATTCAGAAAGGCAAAGCTCACCTTTCTCACCACGTTTCTTTGAAAATGGCTGAAGGTTGTAAGAGAAAAAGTGCTACGAAGTGTATGAAAAGAAAGGCCTCAGAAGAGGCAGATGTTTCGCAGAATGCTTTGCACAGAGAACACTCCTCGCAAAGCATTATGGGATTTGCTACCCGACAGTTTCGACTAATAACAAAAATTATGGAAAGCCATTTAGAAATAATGAGTAATTGGATCAAATGGCTTTCCATTAAAGGAGGAGTTACGCGACTACAGAGCAAAAAGTAATGATCATCCCTCCATACGGTCAGTTAACTGAGTTCACTATGAACTCCACCATATAGTCCCCGCTCTATATATTGATTGAGGGGTTTAGGGGTTAGGATGGACTTTCGGACACAGTAAACATGTATAAGCTATGAGAACAGCAACTTTTAAACAGAGCGTGCACCAGGAGAAACATGCTCCTCCACGCATTTAATAGACGTTCCCTCTTGGGAGCGGATACAGGGTTGTGCTTTTCTTTTAACATGTAGAGGGCGGGTCTTTTAAAAAATCCATAAAAATCCTCCACAATAACTAAACTTTGTGTGCTTTACGGGATTAAAAACAGATTCGTTCTGATGCGTTTGCTGCAAATGTTACCCGTCTCGTCGATTCAACGGTTTTGCTTCCCGATCCTTTCAAAGGTTGATTTTATTTTTTCTATTACATGCGGGTGAAGATCCCCAGTCATCCAGGTCATAGTCGTTCCAAAAAAGTTAAAAAACAATCCACTGGGCTTAGGTTGAAGACGTTTCGCTTCCCATCCAGGAAGCTTTTTCAAATCAAAATGTCAGAATTAACACTTTTTTCTTCCACTAAACTTCAGTTTAATATTTAGTACAGACCTCTTGGTTCTTAAGCAAAGGCCTTTTGTGGTTTAGCTTCTTCTTTTTGGGTTGGGTTTTGGTGACTATCAAATGTGCAGCCTTCCTCATAGATGTGTAGCAATAGATATCTTTGTTCTTTATTAGCCTTTCTTGTGCAACTTTCACGTTTTCTAAGAAACCAAGTTTGCAACTATTGAGGTTTATTTCTTTGTGTATTGCTTTGCTGGGGGGGTGTTGGCCTATTGCAGAGGTCACAGATTAGCGGACCCAACCTGAAATGAGCACCTTGATATGTGCTTTAGAATGGCTTTGTCTCCATTCAAACCCAGGTTAGAAACATTGCAGGGCAACATAAAGCCCACCTATCTCATTGAGCAAGAAAAAAGAGAGAAATAAAACAAACGCTTTATAAAATATGTGAATCAGGAAACTGAACGATTGTTCTCTACTTAAAAAAAATAGTTTTAAATGGAAAAATTTTCAATATTTTTTCTCTAAAAAGTCAATGTATAACATCGAAGCATACAGGTGCTGGTCATAAAATTAGAATATCATGAAAAAGTAGATTGATTTCAGTAATTCCATTTAAAAAGTGAAACTTGTATATTATATTCATACATTACATACAAACTCATATATTTCAGATGTTTATTTTGTTTAATTTTGATGATTACAAATGACAACAAATGAAAATCTCAAATTCATCATATCAGAAAATTAGAATATTACTGAAGACCAATAAAAACAAAGGATTTATAGAAATGTTGGCCAACTGAAAAGTATGAACATGAAAAGTATGAGCATGTACAGCACTCAGTATTTAGTTGGGCCTCCTTTGGCCTGTATTACTGCAGCAATGCGGCGTGGCATGGAGTCGATCAGTCTGTGGCACTGCTCAGGTGTTATGATAGCCCAGGTTGCTCTAATAGTGGCTTTTAGCTCTTCTGAATTGTTGGGTCTGGTGTATTGCATCTTCTTCTTCACAATACCCCATAGATTTTCTATGGGGTTAAGGTCAGGAGAGTTTGCTGGCCAATTAAGAACAGGGATACCATGGTCCTTCAACCAGGTACTGGTAGCTTTGGCACTGTGTGCAGGTGCCAAGTCCTGTTGGAAAATGAAATCTGCATCTCCAAAAAGTTGGTCAGCTGCAGGAAGCATGAAGTGCTCTAAAACTTCCTGGTATGTGGCTGCGTTGACCCTGGACCTCAGAAAACACAATGGACCAACACCAGCAGATGACATGGCACCCCAACCCATCACTGACTGTGGAAACTTTACACTGGACTTCAAGCAACGTGGATGAAGTGCCTCTCTTCTTTTCCTCCAGACTCTGGGACCTTGATTTCCAAAGGAAATGCAAAATTTACTTTCATCAGAGAACATGACTTTGGACCACTCACCAGCAGTCCAGTCCTGTTTCTCTTTAGCCCAGGCAAGACGCTTCTGACGCTGTCTGTGGTTCAAGAGTGGCTTGACACAAGGAATGCGACAGCAGAAACCAATGTCTTTCATACGTCTGTGTGTGGTGGTTCTTGAAGCACTCACTCCAGCTGCAGTCCACTCTTTGTGAATCTCCCCCACATTTTTGAATGGGTTTTGTTTCACAATCCTCTCCAGGGTGCGGTTATCTCTCTTGCTTGTACACTTTTTTCGACCACATCTTTTCCTTCCCTTCGCCTCTCTATTAATGTGCTTGGACACTGAGCTCTGTGAACAGCCAGCCTCTTTAGCGATGACCTTTTGTGTCTTGCCCTCCTTGTGCAAGGTGTCGATGGTCGTCTTTTGGACAACTGTCAAGTCAGCAGTCTTCCCCATGATTGTGTAGCCTATAGAACTAGACTGAAAGACCATTTAAAGGCTTTTGCAGGTGGTTTGAGTTAATTAGCTGATTAGAGTGTGGCACCAGGGGCCATCAATTTTGAACCTTTTCACAATATTCTAATTTTCTGATATGATGAATTTGAGGTTTTCATTTGTTGTCATTTGTAATCATCAAAATTAAACAAAATAAACATCTGAAATATATGAGTTTGTATGTAATGTATGAATATAATATACAAGTTTCACTTTTTAAATGGAATTACTGAAATCAATCTACTTTTTCATGATATTCTAATTTTATGACCAGCACCTGTAAACACCTCCTTTTATTTAGTGTAAAATTCAGTTTAAAGTAACATATTATAGTTAAAAATGTCACCGGATCTTTACTGGTTGTTGATTTTCTTTATTTGGTCCCCACTGATTTTTAATTGGTGACCCCTGGCCTAGTGTTTTAGCAGTGCAGTTGTGCTCTGACAAGGTTGCAAGATTTGATGCGCACAGCCTGCACTCTGGGTCCCTGAGCAAGACCCTTAACCCTTTATAGAGCACTCAGTGAAATCCTTTGAAAATCAACATTTCAAGCCAATAGTCATTGGAATCAAGGACAAGACCTTATTACCTTTGGAACATTTTGATGGCAAAAAATGAATGTCAATGTAATAACAACAAACGGCAACTTACCCGAATATAGTAAAACATTTTTTAAAAAATAAGTGCTTCTATAAAACATTCATGAAAAACACTGAGTGAAAGAAACACTTTTTTTTTGGTAAAACATAACCTTAGAGGCATCAAAGCTGATACTGGCACTTACATTTTTTAGTTTATAAACCTAAATATAACTGTTAGCTAGGCTTATTAACTTTTTAACTTTTCAGATACTTTTTTATCTACTTCTTTATTAGCGTGTTATCTTTTTATCTTGACTTTATAAAACTTTTCAGTTACCTTTTTACTTACTTCTTTATTAGAGTGTTATCTTTTTTTCTTGACTTTATACAACTTTTCAATTAGCTTTTTACCTTTTTTTCTTGACTTTTGAATTAACTTTTTACCTTTTTTCTTCACTAACTTTTCAATTAGCTTTTTACCTTTTTTTCTTGACTTTGAATTAACTTTTTACCTTTTTTCTTCACTAACTTTTCAATTAGCTTTTTACTCTTTTCCCTTGACTCTTTAACATTTCAATTAACTTTTTACCTTTTTTTCTTGACTTTTTAACTTTTCACCTTTTTTCTTGACTTTTTTACTTTTCACTTTTTCCTTGAATTTTTAAGTTTTCACCTTTTTTCTTGACTTTTTAACTTTTCATCTTATTTCTTGACTTTTTAAACTTTTCACCTTTTTTCTTGACTTTTTAAACTTCACCTTTTTTCTTGACTTTTTAACTTTTCACCTTTTTTCTTGACTTTTTAAACTTTTCACCTTTTTAACTTTTCAATTAGCCTTTTACCCTTTTCCTTGACTTTTTAATTAACATTTGAACTTTTTTCCTTGACTTTTTAACTTTTTAATTATCTTTTTACATTTTTTCCTCGACTCTATAACTTTTTTATTAACTTTTTACCTTTTTTTTTCTTGACTTTTTAATTTTTTTTAAATTTTTTCTTGACTTGTTAACTTATTTCGACTTAATTTCCTATAGGTAATATATCGTTCAAGGGCTCATCTAAATGATCAAATACCAAAATAAGATGTACAGCCATGTAGCAGTATTTGTGCTAAATGGCTGGACATAGATCTTGTGCTTCTAGATCCTACTGAGGTATGGAGGGGACTCCATTTGTAAGGGGTATGCAAGTGATCAGAAATGGTAACTTGTCCTGTAGAGTGTTAACTCCCCACTGCTCCCCAATGGGATGGGCTAAATGCAGAGCTAAATTTTAATATTGTGAAATCAATAAAGTTCAATTATTATATTATTATTATTTAATAAGTAAAGGTAAAGATTTTTGGAAATTATCAGAGAAAAAAACTCAATTAATTGAATCCCTGCATTTTATTGTGATGTGTTTTAGAGTATCAGAATGTCTGGCAGCAGCTTACCTGTCCTTATGCTGCAGCAGCAGGTGATAAAGCTTCTCTGTCTCAGCGCAGCTGTACAGGTAGTCCGCCTGCTCCAGCACCTCAGCTGTCAAAAACATCCACACATGATGTCAGCTTAGAAACGCTTCCATTTGTTTTTATGTGTGTCCCTTTACCTTTATCTAAAGCACACACCACGGCTGAACTCCGCACAGCGAGGAAAGCCTGATAACTCAAACCAGACAGCAGAGGGAGACCCAGCAGGAATGCTGCTTTACCGCTCTGTGCAGGAAAACAGGTCCGAAAAAAGGAACGGATTAAATACTGTATTTTTTTAAATATACAATATACATCGTTGCACTGTTTACATTTTAACACGTTCCCTGAAAAAAAAAATACAGATTTTCTTTCTTGCATTCTGAACATTTTTAACCTTTAAACTAGATGTTACAGGCGCAGTGAACCAATATAGCCCCGCTGCCCTTTGATCTACTTTTATCACTTTACATTTTGATCGGATAGAAAACAAAGCGTCGGTATTTACACTCTGAGCTCCTGCTGCCCGGCTCGCATTAATCCACAAGAGGCGGATATTTCCCCTGCTTCTTTTCCCTTTAGCGCTGGCTGTAAGATCCAGCAGAGTCTTGCTTACAATCCGTGTTAAAACCCTCCCAGCCATCATCTGTCAGGTCCAACAGCTCAATAAGCAGGAACTTAAAAGCTAGCCAACGTAGGGGGCAGCGAAGCGGCGGCAAACGGGTAACATTCAAGAGCGCAAATCCTTTCGCAACGTTAATCATTCAAATCCTCTATTTGCCTCCAAGTATGACAAATAAAGTATTAAAAACACGTAGATTTAATAACTGATTTATACGTATCAATTATTGTCCTTCTATTAAACTTCGACTGAAGGTAATTTTAATCGTTGGCTTACAACCCCACGGAGCGATGTTGCTCTTGAATGCACCCCCATTAACTACTGACTAGCTTTTATCCATTACCGACGAGAAACGAGCGCAATTTTTAAGAGTTCCGGCCTGTTACAAATACGAATAATAAACTAATTGTAATTATATTGTACTTTTAAGACACTGCTGTAGCAATCACTCTTCCGATATTAAACTGTCATTGGGATCGTCTAGTTCTAGATTGACCAATCAGTGCGCGCGGAAGCTCTTGGCTCCACCCACACCGCCTCACCCAGCTGTTGTTGTCAGATAAACGTTATTTTTTTCTCTTCAGTCGGCCAAAAATAAACTAATGGAGCCAGTGCTATTGAATCGGGAGCAAACCGGATAAATTAATGTGAGTAATCCGCTATTCATTAGAGAGTAGATATTGTGAGAGACTGCAGAGAGCTTTTGATGGTCACCACACCCCCTCATGTCACTGCAGTCATTCAATCAGCTGAATGTGGGGTTAGGAAAGTCTGTATGAATAGTGTCATTGTTAAAGGAAAACCGTTAGGATTTGTTTAGATTACAGTGTAGATATGCTTTTCCCCTCGAAATAACAACTATAGCTTAAAAAAATCTAAAACTTGATACCGTTTAGCCTTTTTGTTTTTTCTTTTCTCCCTGGTTAAACCATGGGCGGTTCTAGACAGGGGCCAACGGGGGCCAGTGCCCCTGTAGATCATGTCCTAATCATGATATGCGCTGGAACAGACATGGTTACTGATAGGTCCTTTGGATCTATTTCATTTTTTTTTCTTTACAAATTTTGTTTTACTAATTTTATTTATTTATTATTCTTTTTTTTTTTTTTATAAGGTGATAGCTTCAGTGGTATTGAAGCTATCACCCCCTTGATAATCGATCCAATCACAGGAGTAGGTTTGATTTCAACTTTGGTAGGGACATTATTGGTCTGATGGCATTGCAAAATATGCTCTGCATGCTCGTTTCTTTATGCTTGAAGTGAAAATCAGGGTGTATTTCATTTGAATTTAAATTTCTTGCTACATTAATACAGATTGTATAAGCGCTACACACAATAGATGCTGTTTATCAATGTTTGAAGCATCACCGGCTCTTATGATTGTGGAATTAGGACTATATTCCACTTTGAAAATTTTGCATTTGAATTACCAGCAACTAAGACAATAGGTGAATTTGTGCCTATTTAACCAAATATAGTCTGAATATGTTTGTTTTATGTGGATTTATCCTGTTGTTTTCTTTTGAAGATATATAATTGTGCATAGGTAAACAGAGGTAAAACCCACTCTTATCTTTTAAATGTTCTCTTTGTATCATTAAACAAAGCGGAATAATAGATTCAAGGGAGACCAAATGAATTTATTTTATTTACATGAAAACTGGAACTGACACTGAGCATTTAGAACATTAACTTCACTCTATTGTACATCTAGGCTGTAGTTACTCTGTTTAACCCATTTCATGTATTTTATCTAGGGCTGAAACAATTCATCGGAATAATCGAGTATTGACAAATTTAGTATTTGATTAATCGTTAACTGGAGTATAGAGACTCTAAAACATGTCTATAGCTCACAGTGCGACCCACTTACAGCAGGAATTACACCAAAACTGCAAAAAAAAAAAAAAAAAAAAAAAATATATATATATATATATATATATATAAACATTTTGCACTTTAGATAAATATTGTTTTCGTCTGTCAATATTCTCCATCCAGAACTCCTCTACTGCTGCAACAACGCTGTATTGTAAATTATAAACATGTTTTTCACATCTAATTGTTGGTAGGGACAAGTAGGTCAGTCCAAAATTTTGGTAGGGACATGTCCCTATGGTCCCTATGCAAACCTACTCCCATGCAATCACATTCACTTTATTCACTCCGGAGAATTTGGAAATGCAACAGTTGGAACAGCCGCTTCCCTATGAGTTTACTGCCAGCGGTTTAGGCATTGATGGCTTTGTCTTTTTCAGCAGACAGCAAATGCTGAATTGTGCCTGCTTTGCATTTTATCAGAGTGTGATAGCTCAGGGTCAGTCCCTGTCACATGAAATATAAACATTTTCATTTTATGCATTTATCCAGAGATAGAGTAAATGAGTTCCGAGGGCAGTTGGTTGGCCTTTATTTGGGGCTATTAAAGTAGCCACTTCCCATTTAAGTGCAAATATAAAACACTCAGTGTTTGTATCATTAAAACATTTCAAAAGATTCAACTAGTCTAAATACTTTTGGTCATAAATTACATGACATTTCAGCTAAATTCCCTGCTTGCCAATGACAGATTATCTTTTTAACACATCGAGCTGAAATGGCATCAGCGCCGGTCTCAGCTCCGGCGGCCGCTCACTTGGCCTCCAAGGTGGAGCTGACCATCTCCTGTGAAAACCTGATGGACATGGACGTCTTCTCCAAGTCTGACCCTCTGTGCGCTCTTTACATCAACACTTCAGGCTCCCACTGGTATGAGGTCCGTGTTGGGTCATGATGGCAGATTGGTGATGAACTGAGAAAAAAAACAGCTATCCACATTTTCCTACCCATGTCTCTTTTGTCATTCTCTCTGAAAGTAGTTTGGCCGCACAGAGATGATCCTGAACTGCCTTAACCCAAAGTTTGCCAGGAAGTTTGTCATCGACTACTACTTTGAGATGGTGCAGAGGCTGAGGTTTTGCGTGTACGACATCGACAGTGATACCCATGATCTGAGTGATCATGATTTCTTGGGAGAGCTGGAATGCACCCTCGGTCAGGTGAGTTAAACGGGATGTAGAGCTAAGAATGAGAACATTTTCTGATTTTGCATGTTTGAAAGCAACAGAATATTGTTTTTCATCCAGATAGTTTCCAACAAGCAGATGACCCGACCGTTGTTGCTGAAGGACAGGAGACCTGTGGGCCATGGGACCATTACTGTGAGTGGACCATTTCATCATCCAATTTAATTGGAAATACAGGGTAGGGCTGGGCGATAATTCAATAACGATATATATCGATCGATAGACGTGTGGCGCAATAGAAAAAAAGAGGGTCGATAAAAGTTTGATAAAAAAGAAACGCAGTTTTCCTTCCTTCTCATTGTAGCCTAGCATGTAGGTTTATGCTAGTCACTGCTTCCTCCCAACCAATCACAATTGCTGACCCAGGCATGCCGTCACCAAGCGCCGCCCTCTCAAACCACAACACAGAGCACATGAAGATGCAGCAAGGAGAGGCGGAGGAAATTGTTTCAAAGAAGGGTTTTTGTAGTTCGGCAGTCTGGCAGTATTTCGGTCATGGCAAGTCGGACCAAAAACAAACCACAGTCATCTGGAAAATGTGTCGGGAACCAGTGAAAACCAGTCTGATAACGAAACCAGCTTTTTTTTTATCATCTCAGCCGCTCACAGCCGCAGGAGTACGAGCTGTGTAGGCCCCGACACGGCTCTCCTCCGAGGAATCTTCGGAAAATATATATATATTTTCAGTTCTGGGCAGTTTCCCACGTAGTTCTAACAATTGAGATAAAAATGCTGAGGGCCCAGAAACTTCAAAGTAATAACTCAGGTTAAAGCAGGAAACGGGGGCGGCGGCGGCGGTGGGGGGGCATTTATTTATTTGTTATATTTATTTTGGTCACTTTAGTTTATTCTTTGTCAGTATTTAATAACATAACTCAGGTCTCTTAAGTTATTTTTCTTTAAAACAATTCTGTTATGGTTAAAAAAGTTGGTTAAATAAAGATTTAATTCGAAGTCTGTGTTTGTGTTTTTTATTAAAATTAAATCATTTAGCAATATTATAAAAAGTCCAGGCAGAGCTGCACATAAAATATGGTTTCAAATCTTTTCAATAATTATTGATATCGATCAATATGCATTTTTTTTTATCGATAAGCTTTTTTTCTATATCGCCCAGCCCTAATACAGGGTGATGTTCTACCTGCTGGGCATTGCTGCCTGATGCACCTCCACCAGTGCCTTTATTACCCCTGGGCTTGAGCGGGTCATCAGCTGGGGACTACCAGTCATGGATAATTTGTTCCTTTAACCCAGTGGTTCTCAAACTTTTTCTGTCATTCCCCACTTTGGACAAGGGGGAATTTTCAAGCCCCGCCTGTCCCCATCGCCCCAACACAATACTAATGAAATATGCAACAATCTTAAAATGTTCCAATTTTATTGAAGTAACAAGTAGTATCTAAATACAAACTATCTACATCAAATAACAGCAAGCTCAAAAATAAAGAAAATAAAAATGCAGCTGTGTCAAAATTTGTATCAAGCTCAAAGATAGAAAAAATTTCAGTGCCACTCTGCAATCTGTTAATAAAAGAAAAGAAATGAAATCCATCTGGCAAGACAGGTCTATTTATCCCTGCATTAGTGGCTGCAATGAGCCTGTTTTGCATTGCACAGTTTCTCAAAACGGGGTTGCAGGCTTGATACTGCCACTCTCAAGTCCTGCTCAATGTTCAGCTGAGATGGGAGTGGGAGAAATAACGTTGTTAGAGAGAGACAAAAAGTGAGTAAAAACACCCAAATAATATAGAGCTACTTTTTTCTGTCCATTAATGTTTATTATTATTATTATTATTATTGTTTTATTAATGTTTAATTTATTACAATACTAAACCTCCTCCTTTACCCGGTTTGTGACCGGCAAAATGAACCATAAAGAGACACTATGGCGGAGTTACAATTTTTTTTAAACTTTTTTAAACGTTTTCTTTTTTTCCCTTGTGGTCCACCAAGGAGCCCACAAATCACGGTACAACATTAACATGCTGCTGTGTGAATCAAACGCCGTTATTTATTTAAGATAAAATATTTCA